ACCTATGCACCCATCGTTGACCAGTGAACAACTTATAATATTGCAGTTATATGATGTCGGTCTGAACATAATCGAAGTCTGACCAGACAATCCACACCATGAGCATTGCTCCATGCAGTTGAGATAATGCGATGACATGTGTCAACCAAGTCAGCGAACCTGGCCACCACCGATCCCGTTAAGTAAGCCTCTTACCAATTCTAACCTGGATCTTCACATATTTTACCCATGTGGGAATTGAACCCGAGGTCTCTTGGGCGTGGCGAGTGGGCGCTTTAACCACTAGGATACCCCACCGGCCTGCTCACTCCACTTCGCTCTCTCACTATTCCAGCTATATGGAGCGGTCTGTAAATAATCGAGTCAGGACCAGTCAATCCAGTGATCAACAGCATGAGCATTGATCTACGCAAGTGGGATCACGATGACATGTGTCAACCAAGTCACCGAACCTGGCCACCCGATCCGTTAAGTAAGCCTCATATGACAAGCATGGGTAGCTGAAGACCAATTCTAACCCGGATCTTCATTTGTACATCACAATGAAAACACACTCACAAAACTGAATCAGTCATATTTATTTACAAGCAGTCACACTCTCTGGAGAACTCTCTGCATGTAACTCTCTCGTGTCGAAGTCCGTTCTTGATACTGTCCAGCAACAGCTTCCTCGGCTACTTTAGACAAATAGCCATTGTAGAACGCCTGAGCAGACATCTTCTTTTGAAGACAATATTCTCAAAACCCACCCAACCATTCTGAAATGAACAAATAAATTGTCAAGTGTATTCCATCTCCATTTAGTGATTTGGCTTGTTGATTGTTTTGCATTCAGTGATTTCTAGCGGTGGGTATTGCAGAGAATGTTCATTTTATGCGATATATCAGCGATCACGAGAAAGCCTATATTGTGATATGTATTGCGATATATCGCGATCGAAAAGCCTATATTGTGATATGTATTGCGATATATCAGCGATGCGAAAAGCCTATATTGTGATATGTATTGCGCGATATGCTCGCGATCTGAAAACCTATATTGTGATATGTATTAGCGATATATCAGCGATCGCGAAAAGCCTATATTGTGATATGTATTGCGATATATCGCGATCACGAAAGCCTATATTGTGATATGTATTGCAATATATTGCAAGAATTTTTTTAAACAAAAAACTACTTACAATCGAGTCAATGCTTGATTTATCAATCATGAACACAACAAAATCACTATGCTTGATTAAGCTTGAATAAAAACTTTCAACCATGACAAAATAAAAATGTTAATAATATTTGGCACAAATGAAACAAGGATATATCCCAAGATTTCCGAGCGTCACAAAGCTTTCCGACTGCAAGTCAAATACCGGTTTTTGATCAGCGTATCGCAATACGTAACGATTTCATGTCTGAATCAGTAAAAACCGGTAAAACATTTACATTGCGCAGCCCTAGTGATTTTGACTTTGAATTAGATAATACATATATTTGGGGAGTATCATGGAAAAGTAGACATTTTATGATAGAACATTGCAGTAAATATTTACCTTTTAGTTGAGGTTCATGAAAAAAGTACAAGGTGAGGTGAATTGAAATGGGGTTTAATGTCGTACTTGAGACTATTTCGCTCATATGCATGCGTGTGTATGTGTATGTGTGGCTGCTTGTGCTAGCCCAGACTAAAGCTGGTTTTATAGTGCTAGCTAACTGAGATACCATGCCGCAGTGAAGCATGAATACCCCACTCAGACACAGTATACTGACTCCCGAGCCGACCAGTCCTTGTTGTACCCATTAATGCCGAGGCGTCAGGATGGGGTGGGGTGAGGTGAGGTGAGGTGGGGTGAGGTGAGGGTGTGTGAGGTGTAAGGTGGCATGAGGTGAGGTAAGGTGAGATGTGAGGTGAGGTGGTGTGAGGTGAGGTGAGGTAAAATGGGATTTCATGGGGTTAACATGTCTCCTCTTATATACAGCAAAAGAATGCAAATGTGTGTTTGAGTGTAAGGATGCTCACACCCATTCAGAATATTGTAGGCGTTATTGTACTTCCTAAAGGACATAGCCTGGCTAGCTGCAGTTTAACATGGACACCCCACTCAGACAGGCCTGACTCCAAGCCAACCTGTCTTTCTTTATCCTCTCGTGCCAAGGATCAGGCAGGTTAACAAAAGTACCATTTCTTTACGACTTTGGCATGGAGTTCAGGGGATCTAACAAATCACCCATGGGTACAATGTGTGAAGCCCATTCCCAGTATCCCTGCTAAATCGCGGTAGAATTAAACCCACTCACACACTCAACTAAGTTCCTGTTGCACCTACCTGACACCTGACACACAATATCTTCTGTTTCTTGTCAAACCACGACAGTTCCTGGGGCTGCAGCAGCAGCAGCACCTGCAACATCATCAGCAAGAAATGAAGGAGTCATTGTCATTTTACTTTACAGCCACTTTTCCCAAAAGCGTTCAGTAAGCAGCTAAGAACATCATAAAACCCATCGTAACTTTAAGACAGAACAGTGGTGTGCGTGGTGGTGCATGGTGGTGCATGGTGGTGCATGGTGGTGTGTGGTGGTGCATGGAGGTGCATGGTGGTGTGTGGTGGTGTGTGGTGGTGTGTGGTGGTCGCGTGGTGGTGTGTGCATGGTGGTGCATGGTGGTGTGTGGTGGTGCATGGCGGTGCTTGGTGGTGGTGTGTGGTGGTGTGCGGTGGTGTGCGTTGGTGCATGGCAGTGCGTGGTGGTGTGTGTGGTGGTGCATGATGGTGTCGCGTAGTGGTGTGTGGGTGTGTGTGTTGGTGCGTGTTGGTGTGCGGTGGTGTGTGTGTGGTGAATGCGTGGTGGTGTGCGGTGGTGTGTGGTGGTGTGCGGTGGTGTGTGGTGGTGCATAGCGGTGCTTGGTAGTGCGTGTAGTGGTGTGTGTGTGGTGGTGTGTGTGTGGTGGAACATCACGTCCACCCAGAACATAAGTCAACCCTGGAACATACATCCACCCAGAACATAAGTCAACCCTGGAACATACATCCACCCAGAACATAAGTCAACCCTGGAACAGCCACATCCACCCAGAACATAAGTCAACCCTGGAACATACATCCACCCAGAACATAAGTCAACCCTGGAACATACATCCACCCAGAACATAAGTCAACCCTGGAACATACATCCACCCAGAACATAAGTCAACCCCTGGAACATACATCCACCCAGGAACATATGTATACACCGGAACATATGTCAACCCAGGAACATACATCCACCCAGAACATAAGTCAACCCTGGAACATACATCCACCCAGAACATAAGTCAACCCTGGAACATACATCCACCCAGAACATAAGTCAACCCTGGAACATACATCCACCCAGAACATAAGTCAACCCTGGAACATAAATCCACCCAGAACATAAGTCAACCCTGGAAACATACATCCACCCAGGAACATATGTATACTCGGAACATATGTCAACCCAGGAACATACATCCACCCAGAACATAAGTCAACCCTGGAACATACATCCACCCAGGAACATATGTATACTCGGAACATATGTCAACCCAGAACATATGTCAACCCAGAATATCGCCCACCCAGGAACATACATCCACCCAGGAACATATGTCAACCCAGGGAACATATGCCCCGATCCAGGAACATATGTCAACCCAGGAGCATCGTCCGCCCAGGAACATATACGCCCACCCAGGGAACATCGCCCACCCAGAACGTGTCAACCCAGGAACATCTCACGCCCACCCAGGAACATATACTGCCCACCCAGGAACATACGATCCACTCAGAACATGTCAACCCAGGAACATACGTCAACCAAGAACATACACTAAGCCCAGAAGAGACGCCAACCCCAGAGACATATGTCAACCCAAGACCATACGTCCACACCCAGGAACATATGTCCACCCAGAACATATGTCAACCCAGGCATATACATCCACCCAGAACATATGTCAACCCAGGAACATACGTCCACCCAGAACATATGTCAACCCAGGAACATGTCAAACTGAGGAACATATGCCCACTCAGAACATATATGTCAACCCAGTAACATAATGTCCCCAGAAAATACATTAAGCCCAGAAGAGACACAAACCCTGAGACATATGTCAACCCAGGAACATACATCCACCCAGGAACATATGTCCACCCAGAACATATGTCAACCCAGGAATATACGTCCCACCCAGAACATCATCAACCCAGGAACATACATCCACCCAGAACATAAGTCAACAGAGGAACATACGTCCACTCAGAACATACGCCCACCCAGAACATATGTCAACCCAGAACATATGTCAACCGGAGTGGAACATAAATCCACTCAGAACATATGTCAACCCAGGAACATAATGGCCCACCCAGGACCATACATCCACCCAGAACATATGTCAACCCAGGAACATGTGTCAACCCAGGAACATAACGCTCACCCAGAAATCATCATCAACCCTGAACATACACGCCCACCCAGCACATATGTCCACCTAGGAACATACATCCACCCAGAACATGTCAACCTTAGGTAATACGGCCAACCCAGAATATATGTCAACCCAGGAACATACATCCACCCAGAACATATGTCAACCTAGGAACATACATCCACTCAGAACATATGTCAACCCAGGAACATACATCCACTCCAGAACATATGTCAAGGAAGGAATATACATCCATCCAGGAACATAACCCATGTCCACCCAGAAACATCGCCCACCCAGAACATCATCAACCTGGAACATGTCCACCCAGAACATCATCAACCTGGAACATCACGTCCACCCAGAACATATATGTCCACCCAGGAACATACATCCATCCAGGAACATACACGTCCACCCAGAACATGATCCACCCAGAACATACGCCCACCCAGAACATATGTCAATCCAGGAACATATGTCAACCCAGGAACATAACGCCCACCCAGAACATCATCAACCCGAACATACGTCCACCCAGAACATACGCCCACCCAGGAACATACATCCATCCAGGAACATACGCCCACCCAGGAACATATACGACCACCCAGAACATATGTCAACCCAGGAACATACATCAACCCAGAACATACATCCACCCAGAACATGTTAACTCCAGAACATATGTCCACCCAAAACATATGTCAACCCAGGAACATACACGTCAACCTAGGATCATATTGCCCACTCAGAACATATGTCCACCTAGAACATATGTCAACCCAGGAACATACATCCATCCAGGAACATACATCCATCCAGGAACATACGCCCCACCCAGGAACACACGACTCACCCAGAAACATATGTCAACCCAGGAACATACATCAACCCAGAACATACATCCACCCAGAACATGTTAACCCAGAACATATGTCCCACCCAAAACATATGTCAACCCAGGAACATACGTCAACCCAGGATCATACGCCCCCACTCAGAACATATGTCCCACCTAGAACAAATGTCAACCCAAGAACATGCCACGTCAACCCAGGATCATCACGTCCCACTCAGAACATTTGTCAACCCAGAATGCCGTCAACTCAGAACATATGTCAACCCAGGAACATACGTCCACCCAGGAACATACACGTCCACCCAGAAACATACATCAACCCAGAACATATGTCAGCCCAGGAACATACATCCACTCAGAACATGTCAACCCAGAACATATATCCACCCAGAACATATGTCAACCCAGGAACATCGTCCAACCAGGAACATACATCAACCCAGAACATATGTCAACCCAGGAACATATACCTCCACCCAGGAACATATAATGTGGAAACCAGGAACATATTATGCCCACCCAGAACATATGTCAACCCAGAACATATGTCAACCCAGGAACATCACGTCCAACCAGGAACATACATCAACCCAGAACATATGTCAACCCAGGAACATATCGTCCACCCAGGAACATATCACGTGGAAACCAGGAACATCGTCCACCCAGAACATATGTCAACCCAGAACATATGTCAAACCAAAACATACGCCCACCCAGAACATATGTCCACCCAGAACATATGTCCACCCACAACATATGTCAAACCAGAACATACCGCCAACCCACACATACCTTCACCAACTGTGTTCATGTCTAGTAGCTTCACAGGATATCCGTTCAACTCACTACGCAGAGGCATCTGAAATCATGTCATGGACCGTCTATCACATTTGGTACTCGACAGTTCTTCAAAAACAAAATTGCACAGCTCAGAAATCTAAGTATCATAGCAATGTTATTTAATGTTATACACCCTGGACCCATTTTATTTAATGTTATACACCCTGGACCCATGTTATTTAATGTTATACACTCTGGACCCATGTTATTTAATGTTATACACCCTGGACCCATGTTATTTAATGTTATACACCCTGGACCCATGTTATTTAATGTTATACACCCTGGACCCATGTTATTTAATGTTATACACCCTGGACCCATGTTATTTAATGTTATACACCCTGGACCAATGTTATTTAATGTTATACACCCTGGACCAATGTTATTTAATGTTATACACCCTGGAACAATGTTATTTAATGTTATACACCCTGGACCCATGTTATTTAATGTTATACACCCTGGACCCATGTTATTTAATGTTATACACCCTGGACCCATGTTATTTAATGTTATACACCCTGGACCCATGTTATTTAATGTTATACACCCTGGACCCATGTTATTTAATGTTATACACCCTGGAACAATGTTATTTAATGTTATACACCCTGGAGAGAGAGTCTGAGAGAGTGAACTTTAGTCTGAGAGAGTGAACATTAGCCTGAGAGAGTGAACATTAGTCTGGGAACTAAACAGCCTGAGAGAGTGAACATTAGTCCTCGGAACTAAACAGCCTGAGAGAGTGAACATTTAGCTTGGTAGCTGAGCATTAGCCTGAGAGATTGAACATGGAGTGATGGAAACCACACAACCTCCTCACCATATGGCTGAGAGCTCTGTACTGAGCCTGTATTTCCTCCATGGTCTGTCGGTCCCAGTCAATGTACGCCATGGCTGGTCGCACCTTGTGTGCTGGAAAACAGGAGTGAAAGGGTCAGCAAGTGGAGCAAGTGGTTCGGCTTTATGTGTGAGAGTGTGTGTGTCTAGCTGTCTCCCTCTCTGTGTGAGTGTGTGTCCCTCTGTGTGTGTGTCCCTCTGTGTGTGACTGTCCCTCTGTGTGTGTATGTCTGTCTCCCTCTGTTTGTGTGTGTATGTCTGTCTCCCTCACACACACAGGGAGACACCTGCCACAGACAGAGGGAGACACTGAACAGAGGGACACACACAGGGAGACACACGCACACGCAGGCTCTCTCTCCCTTTGTGTGTCCCTCTGTGTGTCCCTCTGTGTGTGTTTGTCTGTCTCCCTCTCTGTGTGAGTGTGTCTGTCTGTCTCACTCTCCATGTGTGTGTGTCCCTCTGTGTGTGTGTCTGTCTCCCTCTCTGTGTGAGTGTGTCTGTCTGTCTCACTCTCCATGTGTGTGTCCCTCTCTGTGTGTGTGTCTGTCTCCCTCTCTGTGTGTGTGTGTGTGTGTCCCTGTCTGTGGGTGTCTGTCTTCCTCTGTGTGTGTCCCTCTGTGTGAGTGTGTGTCCTGTGTGAATGTGTGTCCCTCTGTCTGTGTGTCTGTCTCCCTGTGTGTGTGTCCCTCTGTCTGTGCGTGTGTGTCTCCCTCTGTGTGTGTGTCCCTCTGTCTGTGCTGCCTGTCTCCCTGTGTGTGTGTCCCTCTGTCTGTGCGTGTGTCTCTCCTCTGTGTGTGTCCCTCTGTCTGTGCGTGTGTCTCCCTGTGTGTGTGTCCCTCTGTCTGTGCTGCGTCTGTCTCCCTGTGTGTGTGTGTCTCTCTGTCTGTGTGTGTGTCTCCCTCTGTGTGTGTCCCTCTGTCTGTGCTGCCTGTCTCCCTGTGTGTGTGTCCCTCTGTCTGTGTGTGTCTCCCTCTGTGTGTGTCCCTCTGTCTGTGTGTGTGTGTCTCCCTGTGTGTGTGTCCCTCTGTCTGTGCGTGCCTGTCTCCCTGTGTGTGTGTCCCTCTGTCTCCTGTGTGTGTCTCCCTGTGTGTGTGTCCCTCTGTCTGTGCTGTCTGTCTCCCCTGTGTGTGTGTCCCTCTCTCTCTGTGCTGTGTCTCCCTCTGTGTGTGTCCCTCTGTCTGTGTCCTGTCTCTCCTGTGTGTGTGTGTCCCTCTGTCTGTGCGTGTGTCTCCCCTCTCTGTGTGTGTGTCCCTCTGTCTGTGCGTCCCTGTCTCCCCTCTGTGTGTGTCCCTCTGTCTGTGTGTCTGTCTCCCTGTGTGTGTCCCTCTGTCTGTGTGTGTCTGTCTCCCTCTGTGTGTGTCTCTCTCTGTCTGGGCGTGTGTCTCCCTCTCTGTGTGTGTCTCTCTGTCTGTGTGTCTGTCTCCCTCTGTGTGTCCCTCTGTCTGTGTGTGTCTGTCTCCTCTGTGTGTGTGTCCCTCTGTGTCTGTGTCTGTGTCTCTCTCTCTGTGTGTGTCTCTCTCTGTCTGTGTCTCTCTGTCTCCCCTGTGTGTGTGTGTCCCTCTGTCTGTGTGTCTGTCTCCCTCTGTGTGTGTGTCCCTCTGTGTGTGTCTGTCTCCCCTGTGTGTGTGTCTCTGTCTCTGTGTGTGTCTCTCTCTGTGTGTCTCCCCTCTGTGTGTCCCTCTGTCTGTCTGTCTGTCTCCCTCTGTGTGTGTCCCTCTGTCTGTCGTGTCTCCCTCTGTGTGTGTCCTCTCTGTCTGTGTGTCTGTCTCCCTCTGTGTGTGTCCCTGTGTCTGTCTCTGTCTGTCTCTCTGTGTGTCCCTCTCTCTGTCTGTGCTGTCTGTCTCCCTGTGTGTGTGTCCCTCTGTCTGTGTGTCTGTCTCCCTCTGTGTGTGTGTCCCTCTGTCTGTGTGTCTGTCTCTCCTCTGTGTGTGTCTCTCTCTGTCTGTGTGTCTGTCTCCCTCTGTGTGTGTCCCTCTGTGTCTGTGTGTGTCTCTCTCTCTGTGTGTGTCCCTCTGTGTGTGTCTTTCTCTCCTCTGTGTGTGTGTCCCTCTGTCTGTGTGTGTCTGTCTCCCTCTGTGTGTGTCTCTCTGTCTGTGTGTGTCTGTCTCCCTCTGTGTGTGTCCCTCTGTCTGTGTGTGTCTCTCTCCCTGTGTGTGTGTCTCTCTCTGTCTGTGTGTCTGCCTCTCTCTCTGTGTGTGTCTGTCTCTCTCTGTGTGTGTCTCCCTCTGTCTGTGTGTGTCCCTCTGTCCTCTGTCTGTCTGTCTGTCTCTCTCTGTGTGTCCCTCTGTCTGTGCATGTGTCTCCTCCTGTGTGTGTCTGTCTGTCTGTGTGTCTGTCTTCCCTGTGTGTGTGTCTCTCTCTGTCTGTGTGTGTCTGTCTCCCTGTGTGTGTGTCTCTCTGTCTGTGCTGTCTCCCTCTCTGTGTGTCCTCTGTGTCTGTCTGTGTGTCTCCCTCTGTGTGTGTCCCTCTGTCTGTGTGTATCCTCTCTCTGTGTGTGTCCCTCTGTCTGTGTGTGTCTGTCTCTCTGTCTGTGTGTCTCTCTCTGTCTGTGTCTCTCTCTCCCTCTGTGTGTCCCTCTGTCTGTGTGTGTTCTCTCTCTGTCTCCTCTGTGTGTCTGTGTCTGTCTCCCTCTCTGTGTGTGTGTCCTCTCTCTCTGTGTGTCTGTGTGTCTGTGTGTCTCTCTCTCCTCTGTGTGTGTCCCTGTCTCTGTGTGTGTCCCTCTGTCTGTGTGTGTCCTCTGTCTCTGTCTGTGTCTCTCTCCTGTGTGTGTCCTCTGTCTCTGTGTCTCCCCTCTGTGTGTCCCTCTGTCTGTCTGTGTGTCTCCTCTGTCTCTGTGTGTCCTCTGTCTATGTCTCTGTCTCTCTCTCTCTGTGTGTGTCTCCTCTGTCTCTGTGTGCCTGCTCTGTCCTGTGTCTGTGTCTCTCTCTGTCTGTGTCTCTGTGTCTGTGTCTGTGTGTGTCCTTCTCTGTCTGTCTGTGTCTCTCCCTCTGTGTGTGTGGCCTCTCTGTGTCTGTCTCTCTGTGTGTGTCTCTCCTCTGTCTCTCCTGTCTGTCTCTGTCTGTCTCTCTCTGTGTCCCTGTCTGTCTCTGTCCTCTCTGTCTGTCTCTCTCTCTGTGTCTGTCCTCTGTCTCTGCATGTGTGTCTCCTCCTGTGTGTGTCTCCTCTGTCTCTCTGTCTGTGTCTCCTCTCTGTGTGTCTCCCTCTGTCTGTGTGTTTCTCCCTCTGTGTGTGTCCCTGTCTCTGTCTCCATCTCTCCCTCTGTGTGTGTCTCCCTCTTGTCTCTGTGTGTCTCCTCTCTCTGTGTGTCCTCTCTCTCCTCTCTGTGTGTCTGTCCTCCTGTCTGTCATGTGTCTCTCCTCTGTGTGTGTCCTCTCTGTCTGTGTCTGTGTGTCTCCCTCTGTGTGTGTCTGTCTCTGTCTGTCTGTGTGTCTCCCTGTGTGTGTGTCCCTCTGTCTGTCTGTGTGTCTCTCTGTGTGTGTGTCCTCTCTCTGTCTGTGTGTGTGTCTCCCCTCTGTGTGTCCCTCTCTCTGTCTGGTCTGTCTGTCTGTGTCCCTGTGTCCCTCTGTCTCTGTGTGTGTCTCCTCTGTGTCTCCCTCTGTCTGTGTGCATGTGTCTCCCTCTGTGTGTGTCCCTCTGTCTGTGTGTGTCTCTCTCCTCCTGTGTGTCTCTCTGTCTCTGTGTGTCTCCCTCTGTGTGTGTCTCTCTGTCTGTCTCTCCCTGTGTGTGTGTCCTCTCTCTGTGTGTGTGTCTCCCTCTGTGTGTGTCCCTCTGTCTGTGTGTGTCTCTCTCCCTCTGTGTGTCTCCTCTGTCTGTGTGCTGTGTGTCTCCTCTCTGTGTGTGTCCCTCTGTCTTTGTCTGTGTCTCTGTCTCTCCCTCTCTGTGTGTGTCTCTCTGTCTGTGTGTCTGTCTGTCTCTCTGTCTCCCTCTGTACATGTGTGTCTCTCTCTCTGTGTGTGTCTCCCTCTGTGTCTCTGTGTGTCCTGTCTCTCCCTCTGTGTGTCTCTCTCTCTCTCTCTGTGTCTCTCCTCCTGCTGTGTGTGGTCCCTCTGTCTCTCTCTGTGTCCTCCCTCTTGTCCTCTGTGTGTGTCTCTGTCTTCCTGTGTGTCTGTCTCCCTCTGTGTGTGTCTGTCTGTTCTGTGTGTCTGTCTCTCTGTGTGTGTCTCTCTTCTCCTCTGTGTCTCCTCTCTCTGTGTGTCCCTCCTCTGTGTGTCTCTCTCCCTGTGTGTGTCCCTCTCCCTCTGTGTCTCTCTCCCTCTGTGTGTCTCCTCTGTCTGTGTGTCTCTCTGGTCTCCTCTGTGTGTCTCTCTCCCTCCCTCTGTGTGTGTCTGTCTGTCTCTGTCTGTGTGTGTGTCCCTCTGTCTGTGTGTCTCTCCCTCTGTGTCTGTCTGTGTCTAGGTTCCTCTCTGTGTGTGGTCCCTGTGTCTGTGTGTCTTCCTCTCTGTGTGTCCTCTCCTGTGTCTGTGTGTCTCTCCCTCTGTCTGTGTGTGTTGTCTGTCTGTGCCTCTGTGTCTCCTCTGTGTGTGTGTCCCTCCTGTCTGTGTGTCTGTGTCTCCCTCTGTGTGTGTGTCTCTGTCTCCTCTGGTGTGTGTCCCTCTCTGTCTGTCCCTCTGTGTGTGTGTGTGTGTCTCCTCTCTGTGTGTCCCTCTCTGTGTGTGTGTGTCTCTCTGTCTCCCCTGTGTGTGTGTCCCTCTGTCTGTGCATGTGTCTCCCCTGTGTGTGTGTCCCTCTGTCTCCCTCTGTGTGTCTCCCTGTGTGTGTGTCCCTCTGTCTGTGCATGTGTCTCCCTCTGTGTGTGTGTCCCTCTGTTCTGTGCATGTGTCTCCCTCTCTGTGTGTCTCCTCTCTCTCTGTGTGTGTCCTGTCTCTCTGTGTGTGTGTCCCTTCCTCTGTGTGTGCATGTGTCTCCCTCTGTGTGTGTCCCTCCTGTGTGTCTGTGTCTCCCCTGTGTGTGTCCCTCTGTCTGTGTGTCTGTCTCCTGTGTGTGTCTGTGTCCCTCTGTCTGTCTCTCTGTGTGTCCCTCTGTGTGTCCCTC